TCATTAATTAGTGAAATCTTCTTTTTCAGTCATGTCTTCAAGTTTCACTCTCATGAAAATGTTATCTTGTAAATTATTACTCTGATGAACCTATCACTTGTAGAATTTTATTCTTTCTTGGCCGAATTGATGTTAGCACCTTTTTTTTTTTTTGAGTAAATTATATTGTACTAAAAAACTCTTCTAGTATAGCTCAATTGCCAATATACCCATGTATTTTGAAAGTAAAAAACAACTCTCCGATATAATGAAAATCCAACTCAAATATAACGATTAACCCTCTATCAAAATCAAGCACTTTAAAATCCCTAGAAAATTTAGATTTCCTATATATTAAATATCTAACACAAATATAACAGTTACCTCTCTATTTCAGGATCCAGTACTAAAAACCATTATATAAATGGGGTAAAATACATAAGTTACCCCCTAAATTATGGACCAAATTCATGTTGCACTTTTTGCGAACAAAAATCACTTTACACATTCAATTTTTTACAAAATGTGTCTAATACACACCACTTTTTTCTTGACCAGTTTTTCAGAATATGTATAATGTCATGCACCAATAACGCCCCGAACTCGGGGAGCGCGACCGGCGCTCAACCGAGTAAACCCAGTCAAGCAAACCTGTTAGAGACTTTCTATCCAAACTCACTTATGAATAAAGATAATACATATTTTCGTTAATTAGACATAAAGAGATCATGTGTACAATACCAATTCATTACCATTAGTTAATTCATTTTAACCTATTTTCATGGTCTGAAGCGGAACAAATAATTCAAACACATCAAAACTTGTTTGACTTCCCCCAACACTAATATACAACTCACACTATGTTTACGGAGCCTCTAATAGATACAAAAGAGTACTATGATAGTGCCGGCAACAAGGCTCCGGCTATACCTCAAACACAATACACAAGGAACAAAAGATACATGACCCCGAAATGAACTGGGGCTCACCAAGTCAGCTGGGAAGAGGGTGTACCGCTATTACTGATCAATGTCTCCTGCTGTGCAACCACCTGTATCCATTGAAGATGCAGCGCCCCCAGCCAAAGAGACGTTAGTACATATGGAATAGTACTAGTATGAATGACAAAACACCCTCTCAATAGAACGATTAATAATACAAGCAAGAATAATCATAGTATTAGTGGAAGCCTCAAACAACATCAAACCTCAAGTTAGGACCATGACAGTGTTTAAATAAATTTTCATATTTTAAGTTGGGAGATCTTTAGTACCAATATTCCATCGTTCATAATATCAATACCACCGTACTTTTAGTACGGAGTCCGATCACGACCCGATCGTCTAGGCCGTCTTATCCGAGACATCAACCATAATCACAATTTCCAGCACAATCACCACCATGTGTGCGGCATAGCATCCGATCATGACCCGATCGACTAGGCCGTCTCACCACAATGATGTGTGGATCGACATCATCATTTTTTACCAATCATCTCGTTTCATACTTCTTTCATATCTTTTCATTCATTGGCACTAGTGGCCATAATCATAAAATCATTCTTGGCACGTCGGCCGTATTTAGTACACATGTGAGCAATTAAGAGTCTTAGGCACATTGAGATTTTTCACAAAATTTGGCATAATTGCCTTCGTTTGAACTTGACTTGAAGTCAAAATATTTTAATGCACAACCTATACTTTAAACACATTCTCAAATGATAACATAATATGATAAAAGCATTTGGGATACATATTAAACATATATCTTTCAACACAAGCTTGTTCGGAATAGCCAATTTTTTAATGAATAACTCGTGACTTATATAAATTATATGAATACCGTGGGATTCAATTCTAAGAGAGGAGTTTAGCCTACCTCCCAAGACTACAATCCTCAAACACGTAAGCTTACCTCTGCACGACGAAACCTTAAATTCCTTTACGAAATTTTATGGGGCCTTACAATAACGCCGCAACACGTGTCATTATTCTTTATTTAAAAAGTAAACACTTAAAATTACAACTATACCCCTTAACTATTTTCTCGGTTTCATCTCTTTTTCTTCTCCGGCAAATTATAGTCCTATCGTCGACCACCCAGAATCCAGGCTTTCACCTTCTAATACAAACTAAAAAGCAGAAACCCCAATCAGAAGCCCCAATCAATTGATCCCAGAAAATACTTTTTCTCCAATGGTATTCCAGAGCCTCGTGCGATTCTGGGTTAGGAGTTTTACAAAAAGTTAAGATTCTATTTTTTTTTTGTTGAAATCCACAATAATGTACGGACTAGAACTTCCTTGCCCATCCTCTGTAATAGATTAAGCGTGTCAAAGTTTTTAGCTATAAGTTTATGGATTAGTTGTGGTGGTCTTTGAGGTGGTTCTTGCCATGAGGTTGTTGTTGCTTCGGCGGCCCCAGTGATATCGTTATGGGTTTGGATTCATAGTGTGAAAGTGGCCACAAATTATCGTTTATCTTTTTGTACTTATTTGTTTTGCTCTTTGCTTTTTTTGTTTTAGCCATGGCGGAAGGTGGTGAGGTTTAGGTGGGTCAGGTGGTGGGTGGGTTAAAAAAAGGATAATTTTATTAAATCTTGGACCGTTAAAATAAAGTCCCAGATATGCAGTTTTTTATTGTTCACCTGCCTCATTTTGTTTGTAAAACACGCGATGGTCACGTAGACAAAGAGGTGTGTCTTAGCTGCACTTTAGAAAGGTCCCATGTATAGATAATTTTCATCCGCAAAAATATGTCAGAGGAATTTGGTCTATATTTCGAGGTAAGTTATGTATTTTGCCCATAAATGAAAATCATATACCAAATGATTCTATCTGATTTTCATTATAGAAGGTTTAAATATTGTGTAAAGTACACTAAAACCCTTCTAATATGATTCAATTATAAATATATTCCTTGTACCGACAACCAGACATGTAAACTCCTATAATTAGGGCTACTTATCGGGTGGATAGGTTGGATGTTTAAGTGTAACGGTTCAATTTATTAAAATATAGTAATCTGCTAGCAAATCAATATGATAATGGTTGGTTTGATATTGAGCTAGCGATTATCGATCGGTTTATCAGTTAAAATTAAATCGACAAAGTATACCAAGCTAGAAGTTATGTCTGACCTAAAATATAAAAAAAGTCAAAATAATACTACATTTCTACCTTGAAAAACGTTAGTCCACTATGAATTGACACAAGTTCTTCATAAATGAATTGTATCCAACATTTAAACTGTAATCTAAATGTAATATTCTAAATAATAATTGCTTAAGTATGTTATACGAGTAGTTTTTTTATTTTACTTGCAGTTTCTATGAAACTCTGCTGAAACAAAACACACCAGATAAATTAGAAAAGAAGATCTCAATATAAAGTCTCAACGAGAAATAAGAATATAACAAATCTAAAATACAACTGATGATATAATCATATAGCTGAAGCATGCAGCAATGGAAATCTTGCTTCTTTGTTTTCATATGATTCTGCATAAGGAATCAAAGTTGATGTTCCTGTATTTATTGTTGCAGTGCATATACAGTCAATCATCTCTATAACAGTCTCGTTTGTTTCGATATTTTTTGGCTTTTATAGTGAATAGCAGAGGCGGATCCAGGATTTAAATCCTATGGGTTCAATTTTAAGATTTTTAACATTGAACCCATTATATTTTTAAAGTTATGGATTCATATCTACTATTTTTGCAATTTTAATGAATTTTTACATACAAATTTTTACTCCGCGTCAAAAGTTATGGGTTCAGTTGAACCCGTAGCCAGTAAGTTACATCCGCCTCTGGTGAATAGTTGTTATACACCTATAACAACATTTGACTTTTAAATATTTTTTGATTGTTATAGATAAAAATTATCCAAAAAATAATTATTTTTCCTTTTTTAGTATTACATATAAAAGATAAAAAAATTATTCAAATTTAAAATCTTAAAAGATATGTATATTTTACTAGTTAAATATTTAAAAGGCTAATAAATTCATAACTAAACGTATAAAGATTTAAACTCTAAGGCAGACATTTTAAACCTACCTAGAAAAATAAATTCTTTCAAGATTGATGGAAGAACTTTGTAATTGTAGCTTGTTTCGTTGATTTCATTCTCTTAATAGCGATATAACGTTTGAGTTGGCGAAGATTTGTGTCCAAATTTTCAGCAAAAAAAGTATCCAATAGCTTTCCCTTGAAGACAATCTAAGAGCTTAATAGTTAAATTTTATCAAAATATTTTTTGAAGTTTGTCCAATGGAAAAAATATCATGTGCAAATCTTCAAATCTTATATCTTATGCAGATAGAAACTTTGTTTAATACAAAAGATTGTGTGTTTTTAGAATTATTATTAGTAATCTTAGAGATCTTATATGATATTTCTAGAGGGGTAATTTTACAAAGAACGTTCTGCTATTAATATGGTTGTTGCTATTATAGGTAAAAAGATGTTATAGAGAGGTAAAATATAATTTAAAAAATCGGTTCTGAAAAAAACTTGACTTTTATAATGAATGACTGTTATATAGGGATGCTGTTATAGAGAGTGCTGACCGTATAACTCACTACATAGTTTATATAGGGTTTCTAAAATATATTATATACATACAAGTAGAAATATAAATATAATAATTCTTAACGGAATAATAATTTATCCAATAAGAGAATTAAGTAATTTATCTTCGCACCGATAAAACATTAATTATAAAATTTTAATATGTCCACCATAACCTAATACTAATAAGGCAATAAGCAAATTTTGTGATTGGGTATCTTACGGTTCAATTTTGATATCCCTATATATACTCCATAAAGATCGTACACAAATATATAAGGAATATATTCATAACTAGTAAGTAAATTAAAAGAAGTTAGAGGTCAATAATTAAAAGGTGGATATTATTATATTATTTATAGAAATAAAAAGAGAGAGTATGGGTACTATACTTCAATCACTAATCACATGAATATAATACATTAATTCGGGGAGAGAATAAATTAAAAGGGAAGTAGCAGCAAAAGACGGCTTTTCATAGCACAGTACTCAATTCCCCCCATTAATTGGGTTGTTGTCTTTTTCATTCTTACACTTCTACTTCAGGCAACACAAGAGATTTTGTGGGGGTTCTGTTTCTCTTTTCTCTTATTCCTTTCCCTGTAAGTTTCACCCTTCTTTGCTCCTGTCCCTTTTATTTTTGGGTAACTACAAGTTTATTTCTTGGGATTGTTCACTAGTGTGCGTGTGTGTGTGTTTGCCAAATGACATACATTGATTTTCTTTTTGAGACGATACATTGATTTGTTTATACCATGTCTTTGGTTTGTTCGGTTTTTGCACGTTTGCAGAATTTTGGTTTTTTTATTTGTTTATTAAAGTAACAGAGCGCCCAAAGAACTGTGGATAGCTCATTTGACTTTGGTGGAAAACTCCAATCAATATATTCGCTTCCCTCGCCCCTTCGACTCCCCAACTATGTAATGTACAAATTATGTGATGCACTTTGATTAGATACGAAATTTAAGAAAGAAAAAAATAAAGACTTTTAATTTTTGTGGTTGAAAATAAGTTATAAATCTTTGTATTTCTATAAATTATGGGTAAAATAAAAATTTTAAAGGTAAAATTATTTCCAAGTATATAAAAGTATTATTCTTTTCGAAACAAAGGAAAAAGGAAAGTTAATCCTATAAATTAGGAACAGAGGAAGTAATAACAAAAGAAAAATAAAAAATTAAATAAGGAAGTGGGAAACACCTAAGAGGACATGCGTATGGCGTGTGGCTTTTGTTTCAAGGGGTTGATGGAAGCCCGTCCAGAGTATGGTATTTACTTGGCCGTTGTAGGATTTTATAGATTTTTCTTTTCTTTCAACACATCTTGAGTTCTTGGATTCTAGTTTTTTTTTTTTTGTCGTTTGAGTGTGTGAACCTTAGGATAAAATGCTTTTTGAAGTATTTAGACGAATTTGCACCCAACCGTGTGGTCGAGTAGTCAATAAAGTGGGTAAAAACTATGGAATACCAGGGTTCACAGTTATCCCATACCTGTCCTGTTGGAAGTTACCATGTATCCTTCCAGTTTATGTGAACCTTTTCACTTTCGAGATTCAAACTTTGTAAACTTTGACCAATATTCTGGAATGCATTTTTTCATCGTATTAACATGAGAAGAATTGCAACTTATTGTACTTCTTGTATAGTTTTGAATTTTAACTTTAAACTATCGGCTTATTCTAATCGGCTTTTGCTTCAAAGATTAGTCAAATTGACTATCCAAAAATAAAAAGATTTACATAAACTGAAACGAAGGCAGTAGTACGAGTATGTTCAACTTTTAAAGAGTTTGTAGTCTATTTGGAAGTATCAGTAAAGAGTCCGGATACCCATGTCATGCCCATCTGGAGCTGGTATGACTAGGCAATGAAGAGTTTGTTTAAGTACAGACATACACGCATATGAATATGTATATGTGTACGTATACACAGTTACACACGAGTTCTTGAATTCTAATTTTTTCATGTCATGTCTTTTGAATCCATGGCCATTGATTATATTCCTCTCGCTTTTTATGGACATTGATTATTCCTTTTGCTTACTAATGGTTGGATTTTTCAGCAGAATACTTACACTTCACATAGATGGTGAAATTTATGAAGTTTAATGAATCTCTTTGTCTCTGAATTATGAGGGGAATTGGGGTGAAATAGCAGTGGTTTTGTTGTTCTGGGTTGTTCGTTTGTTGGAACTGAATTCCATTAAAAATGGGGCGGCCAGGATTGAGGAGCTGTGGTGTCTCGGCAGAGTATTCGTGTGAACAACCGAAATTAGAGATTAGTGGTAATATTCGTCTAATGCAACATATTTCAAGATCACAGAATGTTGATGAAGATTATGTCGAGTTTTTAAAGTTTCTCTACAACTATGATATAACTTCTCAGTCATACACAAATGAACATGGAAATGATGGCAGCGCTGATGCGATTGAGGATGAGGATGAAGCTGACCCGCAGTACAAGATTTTTTTGGCTAATGCTAAGCCTGATGGAAAGTCATATGTGCTAAAAGTTGATTCAGAGGATGGGTTTCCTGTGTTCATAAAGTATGAGAAAGAGTGTGGGTGTAATCATGGGTGTGAATGTTTGCATCAAGAAAAACAGAAGGATATGGAGATGCAAAAGGATGCTGTGGATAAGAAAAACTTGCTCAGTAGCAATAGATCCATGGGAGACGTGGATGCGATATTTGAGCCTGTCGATCCTATTTCTCAGAGGAAAATAGGGATTGTGAGCCGGAAGCTTAGCACGGGGAAACATGGGGCATCCAAGAGGCAGGGAAAATCCAAGACTAAGATAAAGTCAGGTGAGGAGAAGATGATGGAAAAAGGGAGTAGACCAGTTAATGTCACAGGTAAAGTCGAAGCATCTGATGTAGATGAAGATTATCGGTTACTCCTGGAGAATCTTGAATGTAAGAATTGGGGCTTGAAAGCCCCGTTAAGAAGCGGTACCATTATTGAATATGAAGCCGTGGAAGATGATGTTGAAATCCTTTACGACAATGGTGGTACGCTCAACAAGGTAGGAAGATTTTACCTTACAGCTTCTTTAATAAAACACCACGAGAGTATGTTCTTCCGACCTTTGTTTCTCCTCCCTATTTTCTCTTTCGTCTTTACTTGCTCGTTTTCAAGTTTCTGGAAATAGTTCCTCATATACTTGTGTGTTAGTGAGCTTCAATGAATACTAAGATCGAGGATACATATCCACAGAGAAATGTGCGGTCTAAGTTCAGGCAGAAAGTCATGGATCTTCTAAAGAAGCCTTACAATCCAAATGAGTACGAAGAACTATGGACTGATGTCAATGCTAAAAAACCAGTGCTAAAGCATATGGACTTGCGTAATGGGAAAATGAAGTTTTATGAGACACAGAAAATGGGAAAGTCATATCTGGATCACCATGCAGGTAAGATCAACATCCTGTAAGTTGGCTTTTCATCGTCTCGATAGTATGATTTCCAGTATTTTCAAAGTTTCGGTAGCACTGCACCTTGCGTGGCTTCTGTTGCATATGTCTAACATAACCTGCTGTTCAGGTGAATTAATACCCTCTCAAACATTAGTAAATATTTGGATAATGGTTGTCATCTGTTCTTGAACTCAAATTGCTTGGCGTAATTTCTTAAAACACTTTACATTTTGCAGTCTCTGATTTCATCTTTGGATGTCTTGCTAGTTTCTGTAAGGTATGCTGTCAATGCAAAAGAATAGTACAAAATGTTTTAAGATGTCACCATAGTCCAAAGGATGACCAATCCAAAGAGATGTGGCATTAAAAGAATAGGTTAGCTGTAAGATTTTACGGAATTCTTTTCATTTATACCACCCATAGGCCATAGCATAATTAGGTTGATTATTTACTAGTTACTCCAGGGAAGGTGTACAATATGTTTTTAGTATTGTTTCATACTTTTCTATGGGATGTTTTTACAACATTCCAAATTTGAGGTCAATGGTGAAGTGTAGGACAGTACACTTGTGAATGAATACAGAGAGGAAAAGAAATAGTGAAAATTCTGAATTATGAACTGTAAGAAACTAAGAATCCTTTTTCAACTGTAGCTGTCCGGATTGTTAGTTTCTCACAAAGTTTTGTACTTTTCCTAGAGTGAGATCCTCTTTCCTCAATACATCTTCAAGAAAGATATGAAAATATTTAACCCTATATTACGTTTGAAGCCAGCGTCCGTCAAGCTGGAAAACTTCTAGGTCATTAATATGCACCATGTTAAGAAAGCTTAATGGTGGCAAAAAGAAAAAGGCTATAACAAAATCTAGATTTGAGTGAAATTCAAATACTTATTATCTTTCTCCAAATTCTATACACCCATGAACAATAAATGTCATGCTTCGAGAGCTTTTAATTATTGTTATAATGCTCCACTTTGTTTTTGTCAAGAAATCTGTTAAAATTTGTGTCCTGATTATATTTTTGGAACAATCTTACCATCAAGAGAAAGGAAATGGAACAATGTTATTTTGTACTTTGGAAGTCGTCCTGCAATTAATTCTTTTCAATTTAATTCCATTTTAAAATTCAGAAATAATCTGTTTCCTACATTTTATAAAGAAGCTTACCATCTAGGGTACTATATGGTAAGTTAACCATTTGCAACTAGAGCACCACATATTGAACTTCTTGCATTTTTAGTTTTGATAAAAGGATTGAAATTCTAGCATTAATAGAACAATGATACAAAATTATTGTTTCTTGTATGTTCATGAAGAACTAACCCTTCTCTTGGGAATTGGAACCCAAAGGCATAGAAACACCAGCTCATTTCTAGTTGAGTGACAAAGGAAACCAGATTATATTGTAAATTGTGTTCCATTGTTCCTTCAACTACAAAAATCCACGTTTTGCGTAACAGTTTGCCTATTGAAACAATGGGAGCTCTTTGTTGAAAGCAAGTTGTTCTTGGATTGCTTTGGATATTTGGGTATTGTCGATTGCTAGAAATATTAACTGATGTAGAAGATTTTCCTTTTCTTACTTTTGCAATTTTGATGTATTCAGATCAATGCCAATCTTCACCTTCATCTTACTTTTTGTGGGCTCTTTCTCTCTGAATTCTCTGCAGTTTCGGCACTATGAAGTCATTCAAACTTTGTGCTTCCTTAATTTTACTTTAATTCCACTATACCGTCGTTACATGATAGTACATGTTTCAAATTATACTTGCAGACCTTCAAAAAAGACTTAAAGAAGTTGATAATGATAATAGGAAAAAGTTGAAGATCTTGCGTGGCTTTTTCTTTTGGTTACAGGTGAGTGGTTCATCTCAGCACAATAGTGAAGAATACATTGATGTTTTCCTTGGATTGGGTTCTTGATATGCCTACACCTATGACCTATCTGTTACTAATCAATGAAAGAAGGTTGTTGGTCAAAAGATAATGTTATATATATGTATGTTTTAGATACAAGGTTTAACGCTATCTCGAGACCTTAAAGTTGCTAGTTAGAATTTGAATTCTGGAGAAAAAAAGTTACTAACATTGTAATACTTTTACTTTATCAAAAAAAAAAAACATTGTAATACTTTTATTAACAACATTAACAAACGAATGATGCGGTTGATGAAATCAGCCTCACCTTATGAAAAGTAACAGTGGTTCAGTTTAAACTCTTGTTTGGGCTAGTTTCCTATGCATTTTCACTAAACTAGGTAATGATTAAACTGAAGGGGAGCGTTGGCGTAACTGGTAAAGTTGACTCCATGTGACCAGGAGGTGAAGGGTTCGAGCCGTGGAAACAGGCTCTTGCAGAAATGCAGGGCAAGACTGCGTACAATAGACCCTTTTGGTCAGGCCCTTCCCGAACCTCGCGCATAGCGGGAGCTTAGTGCACGGGGCTTCCCTTTTTTAGGTAATGATTAAATTGATGACAAATTCAGAACTAGCAAAAAACATAAAAGACTTACCATGTGTTGTGCTTTTGTTGGCAATGCCAGCTTCATCATCCTAGATTATTTCTTTCTCAAATCTTCAGTTTCAGTAACTTATAAGTACATGATTTTTCTTTATTATAAATAATTAGAACAAAGTTTCAGAGAAACATCCAATGTGTTAATATGAGAAGACAAAACACCATTGCCCTTTTGCATCTTGTCCTAGTTCTGCAGTGACCTATGTTTAAACTTTCAAGTGATCAGAAAATTTGGGTAATTGACAACTTCGTCCCATTGAAGCTTAAGAAGAATTGAAATTGTTGTATTCATACACTGGTTGAATATAAGGATTATGTGTTTACGCGAGTGCTGATCCCATTTGACTAGTACAAGTAGTTTCAGGATGAGCACTCAACCATATAAATCCCATACTTGAATTTCAATAATCATTTTAACCATCCATGCCCGACTTGTGTGATTATACTGGGCATATTGTTGTTGTATTGTAACCATCATATGATTTATTTAGCAACCTGATGTTTCACTGACAAATTTAGTCGTATAATAAAGCACCGTATCTTCTCATTTGGCTGTTGCTAGAATCTCACCAACAAGGAATCATTCATACCTTGGAAAGACGCTGAGTTTCTTTCGCGGGTGGCTGAATCCAGCTAGAAGTGATGCACCTGCAGTCTATTACTTTTTGAAATTATGCACTGCATTTTATACATGGAAGCAAGCCCCTAGCAGTGGAACATCTTGTGAATTCTCGGCATGGCTTTGGAATTAATTTGTGATCTTCTAAGTTCTCGCTCCCGTCCCTTCCCCCCAAGGCCCTGAGGATTTTTGTACGTCTCAAACAAGCATGTAAAAGGAGTTGATGTCAATATAATATGCATGCAAAAGTAAGTATCCTCTATCTTCATCCACTTCTGTCTCTTACCTTAAATACATTTTTCCCCATGCAGATTTTAGCTTTTTATTTGGACTACTAGAATTGTCCTATTTCCTTTGTAAGGTGCAAAGGAGAACAGTGGGAGTGGGGTTTGTAGGGGAAAATAAAAGAAGAAAAATGAGGCCACTAACAAAGTCAGATTCAGGATTTGAAGTTTATGGGTTCTTCCAACGATCTCAAGTTAAAAATGAAAGAAAGAAAGGGCAGCCAGGTGCACTAAACTCCCGCTATGCGTGGGTTCGGGGAAGGGTTGGACCTAAGGGTCTATTCTACGTAGCCTTACCTTGCATTTTTGTAAGAGAGTGTTTTCACGGCTTGAATCCGTGATCTTCTGGTCACATGGTAGCAACTTTACTAGTTATGATAACTCCCCTTCTACAACGATCTCAAGTTAATTTACGACAACAACTACGTTTACAGCCAAATATATATAGATATTTTAATGCATATCTCAAATCACTACAACTAGGGGTGTACATAGACCGGATTGGTTCGGGTTTTTCAATTATCAAACCAAACCAACGAAAGTCAGATTTTTCAATTTCGGATTTTCTCGGATTTTCGGTTTTTTCGGATTTTTCGTCGGTAAAGTTTTCATAGCACAAAACATATAACTTTTGCCCCAAATATTTTTTTAATCCTAGTAAGATACAACTATATAAGGTGTTTCTCAAGAAAATAATTCAAAATATGAGATGTGTCATGGCATTATCCTAAAATATTCAACAATAAAGATAATAGAATTGTACAAAATAAATATTGCTAACTAATAAGCCATTATAAAAATGAACATAATCTAAAAGTACTAATCATGCTAAAATAAGTATGACGAATAAATACTATTAATTACATGACTAAACACTAAAGAAAAAATAAAAATAGGTTATGCATTTTTATCTAAATCATTGCAAAACTAAAAAAATAGATACACATTGTCATTCCTAGTATTGAATTGAATGTCTTTCGTTAGTATTAGTATTGATTTGATTTTGGTTTAGAATATTTATGGGCTATAAAACTTGTTGGAGTATTCAAAAGTTTTAGGTCTAACCTTGAAAATAACACGGTAAAAGATAAAACTATGAAAAAGTTTAAAAAATATTTATAAATTACATTACAAAAAGTATTTTTATGTATTAAATAAATTTAAAATTTCTATACATGTAATATCGGGTTGGTTTGGCTTCGGTTTGACTTTTTATAGTTAAAACCAAACCAAACCAATTATGGTCGGATTTTTTTTCCAATACAAAACTAACTCAAATCGAACAATAGTCGGATTTTTCTCTTCGGTTCGACTCAGATTATCAGTTTTGTGCGATTTATTGGTTTCTTTGTACACCTCTGACTACAACATTACTACTTCGCAATTTCTTATATTCCTTATCCTCATACATGTTGCGACTTGCGAATGTGAAGGAAAAATGAAGTCCAAGTGTGCTCGCTTTATGACATGAAAGGCGCAAAAGTACTATTAGACAGAATATATGATATTCCTTTTACACTGATTTGTTTTTTTAGAATTTTATAATATGAAATCCTATAGATTTTGTCACACGTTTTTTGATTCAATCATGTAACGAGGAACATAAAATATTTATTTGTTTTTTTTTTATTTTTCACGAAATGATTATTTGACACATTCTTACAAAAAAAATATTTGCATCTAAAACAAATAAGTGTATAATGTGTATATAACAAAACTTGAAGTGCTGGTGTAAACCAAGTTATAATACAAGTAACATTAAAGTTGAAAATTAATGTTAAAAAACAACCAATAAGTGTATAATTAATGTGTATCTAGCACACCTTGAAGTGCGGGTGTAAACCAAGTTATAATATAAGTAACATTAAAGTTGAAAACTAATGTGAAAAAACAACTAATGATAGAAGCCAAATATTTCACTAAGAATATTTAACTTAATACTATAATGTATAAAAAAATATATTTGACATATATACACAAAGTGACACAATTTATGCTTGTGCTCATCGTCCTTAATCGCTTGATACATAAATGATGTAATTTTTATGAAAATATTATATTGTAGATGTCCATTTATTACTCCGCTATCCATTTAGTACTCTGTTGAAGTTTATCTACAAGCAGCTGATGCAGGCAGGTTGCAAGCAACTCAATGAATGATTTGCAACAACTTCTTATTAAACAGGTAGGTTGCATGCAGCTCATGCAGACAGCTTACAAGCAGCTGATGCAGGTAGATTGCAAGCAACTCAATGAAATGATTTGCAGCAACTTCTTATTAAACATGCAGGTTGCAAGCAGTTCATGCAGACAGCTTACAAGCAGCTAAAGAAAAGCCTTGCAGCTGCTTCCTGAAAAGCCTCGCAGTTGCTTCCTTTCTTCTATAAATAGAGGAGTTTTCAGTTCATTATGAACATAAGTTTGAAATTTGAATAATATATCAGTTTCTCTCTATACTTGTCTTCACTTTACAGTCTTTATTTTATAACACGTTATCAGCATGAGACTATGCCATCTCGAGCAAATACTTTGAAAGTATCAGAGGTACGAACTTTCTTTTTCTAAATAATGTTAAATCTTTCTAAACTTGAATTTGTAGCCCTGGATATATCGGACAAAAGCTACATGTCTTGGGTGCTTGATGCCGAAATTCATCTTGATGCGATGGGTCTGGCAGACACCATCAAGGACAAAAATCAGCATCAAACTAAGGCCGTGCCAAAGCAATGATATTCCTACGCCATCACCTTGATGAGGGCTTGGAAATGGAATATCTTATTGTTAAAGATCCAGTCATACTGTGGAATAATTTGAAATATAGATATGACCACCTGAAGATGGTCGTTCTTCCACATACACGATATGATTGGACTCATTTAAGGCTACAAGATTTTAAATCTATCAGTGAGTATAACTCTGCTATGTTCAGAATTATTTCCCAATTAAAATTATGTGGTGATAATATTACTCATCATGATATGTTGGAGAAAACTTTCACCACTTTTCATGCCTCGAATATGCTCCTGCTGCAGCAATATCGAGAGATGAGATTCAAAAAGTATTCTGAACTTATCTCACATCTTTGAAAAACCATGAAAGCCGCCAACTGGTTCTTGTCCATTACCTGAAGTAAATGAGACGAACTTCCACCAAGCTAAGCGTGGAAGAGGTCGTGGTCATGGCCGTGGTCGGGAAAGAAACTCTAATCATGGTAATAATAATGCACCAAAGAACCCTCCTCACCACCAGCAATGGAAAAGGAAGGAACAAAAGCATGAAGCGGTGCAAGCAGCAAAGCCAGAAAATGCATGCTATAGATGTGGAGGAAAAGGGCACTGGTCATGTACCTGTCGTATGCCAAAGTACCTGGTTGAGCTTTATCAAGCCTCCCTGAAGAAGGCAGAGAAAAATGCTAAAGCAAATTTTATTTCTAAAGATAATTTAGACTTCATGCATTTGGATGTAGCTGATTACTTTGCACTCCCAGAAGGAGAAACAAGTCATATGATCGGTGGTGAATCTGTAAAAATATAATTATTATACATAAATAAAAGTTATGCTTTGATAATAATGTTTACTATAACATATTTTATTTATGTCATTTTGAAGAATATGGATAATCCTCAAATTATGTTTAGATCAAAGACCAATCATGAAGATATTTGTGTAATTGATAATGGAACAACTCATGCCATATTCAAGGATCAGAAATATTTTTCTTATTTGCATAAGGAAAAAGCAAATGTTTCAACAATTTCTGGTAATATAAGTTTGATATAAGGCTCTAGAAGAGCCATTATATTTCTGTCTAAGGGAACAAAACTTATAATAGACAATGCATTATTCTCCTCCAAGTCCCGAAGAAACTTGTTGATTTTTATAGATATCCGCCGAAATGGGTATCATGTTGAGATGACAAATGAAATGGATATGGAATATCTTTGTATTACAAAGAATGTTTCTGGCCAGAAGTGCATTGTAGAAAAGTTACCAACTTTATCTTCTGGCTTATACTATTCAAGGATTAGTACAGTTGAAGCACACTCAATCGTAAACCAGAAGTTTATTGATTCAAATATTTTTGTACTTTGGCATGGCCGTTTGGGCCATCCTGGATCAATAATGATGAGACGAATTACTAAAAATTCAAGTGGACATCCATTAAAGAACCTGAAGATTCTTACAAATAATGAATTTTTTTGTGATGCTTGTTATCACGGCAAAATGATCACTAGACCATCACCAATGAAGGTTGGCATTGAATCCCCTGCCTTTTTAGAACGTATACATGGGGATATATGTGGACCTATTCACCCACCAAGTGGGCTGTTTAGATATTTTATGGTCCTAATAGATGCATCTTCAAGATGGTCTCATGTGTGCCTACTATCATCTCGCAACCTAGCGTTTGCAAAGCTATTAGCCCAAATAATTTGATTAAGGGCGCAATTCCCAAATTATCCTATAAAGGCTATTCACCTTGATAATGCTGGAGAATTCTCATCTCAAGCTTTTGATGATTACTGTCTATCAGTTGGGATAAAAGTTGAACATCATGTAGCTTATGTTCATACTTAAAATGGCCTTGCAAAGTCATTTATTAAACGCCTGCAATTGATAGCAAGACCACTACTGTTTGGGGCCATGCTAT